CAGTCAGCTTGTCTAGTAGGAAGCAAAACCCTTCATTCCATCTGGGATTAAAGTCAAGCTTTCAATGAAACCCCCACTGAAGAGAACAAAGGATTTACAGTCTTACCAGTTGCACAGGACTGATATCAAACCTTCCCAGGGAGCAAGCTTTGAGATGGGGCTTTTCTTCCCTTGATGTTATCAATATTGCATTTGTGACAACAGACCTGAACCCCCCTTTGGTGTCAGGAGCCAAGGTGGACGGAGGGCACGCCATCAGAACACCATCCCTGCCACCCAGTGGTGGTCCAGCATCCCACCCAGTGGCAGAATTTATAGCAACCTTGACAGTGATAGTCCAGCCTCTGCTTGAACTATCCCAGGGACAGCAAACTCGCTTCCTCATGAGAGGCCTGTTCCTCTCTTCAACAGTTTTCCTTATTAGAATGTTATGCTTAATCTTCTTGGTTGTCCTGGATCAACTTCCTCCCTGTGGTCTGAGTGTGGTCTCCACTACGCAGAACCAGCTTAATCTCTCTTTCACATGACAGATTTTTAAGTATTTGAAAATTATTTAAGTTATGATGTCCCTGGGCATCTGGCCTCACTATTCCTCAGTCCCTGGAGTGGAAAGCCCCTCAGTCTTTTCTCTCTCCACCTCTCCTTGACATTATCTTCAGCTATCCCCACATGGCAGGGCTCCCACACTCTTCACCACCCGCCTCCACCCACCTAAGAGTGCAGAAATCCAGGTTGGGTCCTGTGTCAGGGTCTCACCCATATGGGGGAGGGGGATCAGAAGTCACTGCTGAATCCCTCATGGGCTGAGTGCTAACTTAGAACAGGTGACAAATAAGTCTGCGTTGCCCCCAGAAAGACTCAGAAACGACCCTGAAGAAACTGCAAAGTTCAAAGCGTTCCACAGCATCAAGGCTGTTAATGCCATTTTATTGTTATTGTTGTTATTATTTTTGTTAAGTGAGCTCTAAGCCCAACGTGGGGCGTGAACTCACAAGTCACAGGCTCTATTGAGCCAGCCAGGGGCCTGGGTTAATACCACTTTAAGTCCTAAGTTCCTAATAAAGGCCTAGTTGGGGAGTTTGCTCAGGAGGCTGCCCTCTGCTTGGTGGGCTTCAGACTTTCCTGCTTTCAGACTTTCTAAAGGGATTTTGAAAGACCATGTATGTCTCCACACATTTTTAGTTTAATAACTAAAATTTTAAGAAGTTTTAAATAGTTGCAGAAGATGCAATTTTTGGCATATTGTACCTATTGTCGGCTCAAAATAAAACAGTCATAGCACCCTTGTAAATGGATTCAGTGGGTTCTAACTGCCACAGCATTTTGATACCCCAACACTCAGTGGGTCCAAACAGCACACATTTATTATCTCACAGTTGCTGCGGGTCATAGACTTTATTAGCTCCATTTCTTTGAGACACAGCTTTTCTGAATCCTCTGCCTGAGGGTGTCTCACGTGGCTACAATCCAAGAATCAGCTGGGGCTGTGGTCTTCAAGCCCAGTCTGGAGGCTCAACTGGCAAGGAATCTACTTCCGAGCTCACTCACTTACCTATTGGGAGAATTCAGTTCTGTGAACCCTACACCAGCTGGGGTATTTATTAAACACACAGACTCGTGGACTACATGTGGACCAATTGAGTCAGCACCCCCTGATACCCCTTAATCCTGCTATACATTAACATTAAGGAATCACGGGCATAAACACAAACGCTTAGGCTCTAGAGATATAGTTGAGGGTCTGCTCTCTGACCTAGAATGTTTCCCCCACCAGCCTCACCTTGCTCATCTGTGAAAGAGATTTATTATCCACGCTTTCTTTATAGGGTTGCTCTGAGGCTGAGACCAGACAGGTCACAGAGGAAGACACTTGGTAAATTTTCTGGCACAAGGTATGTTTTAAAATGTCTTTATTATTATTCAAAGGAGGGAAGGACCACATCTGATTGTGCGATTAGAAATTCACAACGCCCTGGCCAACAATAGGATTCTCCTCAGGGAGGTGATTCAGTTCAGTCAGCATGAACTGAGCTTTTTCATCTGTGCCAGGTATGATTGAAGCTAGAAAGTTGGAACCAGGTTGGAGGTGGGGAGGAAGGATGGAAACAAATGAGTTTCAGGTTAATGCCAGGTCCTAGTGGTATTACTGGTGTTGTCTATCTGGAAGGTGGAAAGGTGGGTCTATGGTAAGGTTAGCATTAGATTTGAGAGTTAACAATGCTGTGAGAGGCAAAATGGGGGGTGTGGAGAAGAAGAGGTTCAGAAAATGGGCCACAGTTTTATTGAAGAACCAGAAAGCAGAGTTAGAAAAGGACATCGCAAAGGGATGGTGAGAGAGGCTGGGAAAACAAAAGGAGAAAAATGATACATGGTAAGGAAGGAGATGGTTTAATCTAGGTGGTTAACCTAGGCAATTTACCTAGTCAATTACCACGCCTTGCTTCAGAGGGAGAAGGCAATGTCAATAGGTTGGAGGTGGTGGAATCACTTAGAAAGGGACTAAAGCAGCAATTTTTTTAAAGCTTTTAAAATTCATTTAAGTAATCTCTACACCCAAGTTGGGGCTCAAACTCACAACCCAGAGATTAAGAGTCGGATGCTCTTCTGACTGAGCCAGCCCAGCACCCCTCCAGCAGCATTTCTTAACTTTGGCTATCATTAGAACTACCTGGGAGCTCTTAAAAATCCTTTTGCCCAGGCAGTACCCCAGACAAATCAAATCAGAATTTCTCAGAGTGGGAGCCAGGCATTTGTTTTTGTGAAAGTGCAGAAAGTGTTGAGAACAGGTGAATTATGGAGGACTTTGTGTCAGTGGAGCCAGCTGGTAGCTCGTACCTTGCGAAGTTTCGCAGGAAAGGAGAACAGAGAAAGAGGTGCTGATAGAGGCAGGACCACTGATGAAGCATGGTGGTAGAGAAGCCAATGGGGTCCCAAGCAGAGGTGAGGACTGAGCCTAGCAAAGGGGGTGTCTTAGTCAAAAGGAGAGAATCCTCTGGAGAGGTGGGAAAAGAGTGTTGGCTCCACCCCCAGCCTTTCTGATTCAGTTCGTCTGCGTCCTGACAATTTGTATTTCTAACAACTTCCCGGGTGATGTTGATAGCCCCGGGGCCACACTTTGAGAGCTACTAGAGAATAGGAAAGGAAACTATGCAGACAGATTTTTGAGTGAGAGAGAAGTGGTGGAGCCATTTCCTTTATGCTCCTGTCAGTGATATGAAGAGCTGCATTTCAAATCCATGGAGAATTCTCCAAACTTTGGTCACTGCCTTTGCCAACCTTGAGAGTACAATCATTTAGCATTGTGGAGGTGCTTACAAATTTCGGATACTAGGGTCCCACTGTTCACCAATAAATCAGAATTCCTGAGGGTAAGATGCCTTCCTTGGTACTGGTAAAACTCCCTGGGCTATTCTCTCTGAAGAGGCACAGCTGTGAAGGGCTCGACAGGTGAATTAAATGGAGAGCCTGCATTCTACGTGGGAAGGTCTTAAGTGGGAAGAGTTTAAGAAGCCTCTTCCGGGGCGCCTGGGTGGCGCAGTCGGTTAAGCGTCCGACTTCAGCCAGGTCACGATCTCGCGGTCCGTGAGTTCAGGCCCCAGCAGTGGGCTCTGCAGGCCCTAGATAGCTCAGAGCCTGGAGCCATTTCCGATTCTCCCTTTCTGCCCTCCCCGGTTGGCCTTCACTGTCTCTCTCTGTCCCAAAAATAAATAAACGTTGAAAAAATTAAAAAAAAAAAAAACTCTTCAGGGGCCGTGACACAGAGCAATTTCTGCGACACGAGGATGGAAGGCTGCTCTGCCTGAGAGCTCACCCTCAGAGGAAATTCCTCATCCAGGTACGAATACCATCCTCAGAACGATGAGACCGTCTTCTCCTACAGCACGCTCCCTTACTTAAACCCTGACCCATTTTCCTTTCTGGCCGAGGCTTCTCTTTTGCTGTAAGTTGAAGAGGGACTGAAGCTGGCAGACTACACGTCCCTAGCAGGGGCGACAATGAAATTAATTGAGAAAGTAAGCTAGAGGAATGGGGGGTGCATCTAAGAAGGAGAAAGTGCAGACTTAGAAAAGCCTGAGTCTCTGATGAAGGGGTGGGGAGCCTAGTTAGAAGCTATCAGGTAAGAGCAAGACAAAGGCAGCACGGATGTCCCATACTCCTAGTAGGTTTCTACATGTGGGGCTCTGTTTGGTGACCACAAATTGGTATATCAGATCCCCTTCTACAATCCTCCTCCTGACAACTGAATTTTGAGAAGGAGAATGTTGGAATGACCACCTGAAGTCAGGAAAACGTATGGAACCTTTCAGCCGTAGACTTTCCCCTTTATTCCTCTACTCCCTCGCTCCTTCTCCCCTCCTCCTGTGTTCCCTCTTTCTTTGTGTTCCGTTCTGTCCTTCCCGCTTCTCAAACAGCCTGAGCCTCAGGATGATGGCGCGCATGACAGATGCCGCACCCTGCGCGCACCTGTCCCCGGCATTCCATCGGCGATACCGGCAGAGGCAATACGACCCCCGGCTCCTCGCACGGCCCCGCCCCCGGCCCCGTGGACCCCGCTGCGGCGGGGGCGCGGGAGGGCGCGTCCAGCCCGGCCACGGCAGGGCTCAAAGGCGGCGGCCGTAGCGTCCCGGCTGCCAGCTCCGCCTCCGGCCCTCCCTCTCCGGCGCCCGCACCTCCTCCCATACCTGAGTGGGGAGCGGCGCCGCGCCGCCTCCTCCCCCGCCCGCAACTCCTGCCCGGCCGCAGCTGCGCCGCCACCGCGGGAGTAAAGGTCGCTCTGGACGAGGGCGAGCCGGCCGCGGCGCCTCCAGGAAGCCGGCGGGGCAGGTCGAGGGGAAAGAGACAGGGAAACTCTCGGCCGGCCCAGGAAGATGGCGCCAGGCGGGCCGGCCGTGAACTGAGAGCCGGCGGGCGGAGAGGAGTCGGGACCTGCCGCCCAGCGGGGCACGAGCGAGGGCCACACGCCAGGCGCGGTGCCCGGGCTCGGACCGGCCCGCGGGGTCATGTCGGTCAGCGAGCTCTACGGCCAGGTGAGTACGGGCCGCGCGCTGCGGTCCCGCCGGCCCAGGTGAGGGCGGCGCGCTCCCGGCCGCCTCGGCCCTCGGGGGGCGCCCTCTCCCGCAGTCTGAAGAGGCGGGGGGTGGGGGGCGACGGGAGCCGCCGAGTAGCCTTCCCCTCGCCTCCTCTCCGGCGTCCCGAACTTCGGGTGGCCGAGAAAGTTTGGCTGTTCCGGGAGCGCCCTGCGCTGACTCGCCGCGGCTCCCGGCAGCACCTCGGCTCTGCCCGTGATCGGGGCTGTCGACCCCTCCTCGAGGCCCTGCCGTCGCTTTCCTCGCGCGGTTCTCCCGCTGACTTTCCCGGTCCGTGGGGGCGTCCTCGCCAGCGCGGAGCCTGGGGCGCGGGGACTGCTCCGCTGCCGCCCCCTCACCTTGCCGGTGGACCCCGCTCTAGCTGCCCTGCAGCGCCAGCTCGCAAGGGCGTCCCTCTAAGGCTTTCTTCGGGGCACCAGTGGGGGGGAACCCCGAAGTTTAGGGGGTGTTCGCACACTCGAGGTGGAAAAAGGGACCCACCCTGCTGTGAGGGGCCCGGTAGCTTGTGGGAGGTGGAGGTTAAGCGATGAGTAAAGTGAGATGCTTTAAAGGATCTGCAGCGATCCTGGGGGAGCGAATTCTGAAGTTCCCGGGGGTGGGCGGCCGGAGGTGGTCCCTCTGCGTGGGTACCAGGAAGGCCTCAGTAACTGTTAGGAAAGGGTTTGGAGTAACGCTGACCTGGGGGTGGAGTGTGGATTTCCAGGATGCCCTCAAGGTCAGAAGGGCTGTGCGGGGCTCGGTCCCCACGGTCGGGAACAGGTGCGGCTGGGTGGAGGCGCTCTGCTTCCGCGGCAGTTATTTTAAAGTTAAGGACCAGCCGCCGCCGCCGCCGCCTCCGCCTCCCCGAGCGCCCACGGCCGTGCAGCAGCATCAGCCACCGCCGCCGAGGCCGGGCCCGCTCAGGCTTCAGGGTTGGGGGGGACGGTGAGGGGCCTGGGCCTTTAAGCAAGTGCCCCTCCCCCCAGTAAGTTTTAGATACTTGCACGTCTTTTTTTCCGGGGCCGTGACCCGTTTGACAGTGTTTTGTGCGCCCGTCTACGTGCGGAGTGGGGTGGGGGG